GCCGTCCCTCCCCGCTGCCCCGTCTCCTTCGGCTGCCCGACGGCCCGGCCGGGGCGTCCCCAGGAGAACTCGAGGCAGTTGTCTGGGACAACAGCCCACGTTGGTAAAACCTCAGGGCAAAACTAAAGGGTGAACTAAAGCGCTTAGACGGGATGAGAGGATCAGAGCCAGGCACAGCCCCTGGGCCGGGTGGCTCGCCCCACCCCAAGCCCCCAGATCTCAGCCCCGGCTCACCGGCAGGAACCTGGCAGCCGCCCGGGAATAACAGGGCAGCAAAACGCAAAGCAAATGCCAAAAAGTAGCTGGGAAACGGTTTCGAAGTAATATGCTCCCAAACAGGCACGTATGGGAATTTGCTTCCCAGCAGTCACACCCACGCAGTTCTGCTCGGGTTTTGCTTACCAATTAACAAGGCCACCAATTAACGCTCCGTGTGTTTTCCTGCTCATTTGCACTATTTACAGCCCTCCTTTGAAGCGACGTGTGAGAATTCTCCGAAAACTTTTCAGAACGGGGCCGGACAAGCGCATTCAGTCCCTAAGCACAATCAGCCCCTACCCGGCACCTCCTGCCAGTCCGCCACATGAGCAAAACCCTAAGCTCCTCTCCCAGAACACCGAGACGGATGCTTCTCCACCGCAGTCACCGACTCCCGCGTCAAGTCACGCCTTTTCGAGGCACATCGCCTTCTCTTTACCACCCAAGCGCCACGTGCGCCACCCGAGGACACCTCCCCAGGCCGCTCGCAAAGGGCGCTGTGCCCTTCCCAGAATAGTTCCGGTAACGTTTGGCTCTTACCTTTGGGCGAGATGTGTCTCCAGGTGATTGTCGGATCTGGCCTGCCCGTGGCTATGCAGGTGAGGCTGACGTTGCCGCCCTCGTTGATGGAGATGTCGGAAGAGATCTCGATGATTTTGGGAGACACTGCAACGACAGAAAGAGGGAAATGAAAATGCAACCGGTTCTGCTCCAACTCCAACCTCAAAACGTGGGTGAGAAGGAGGCTGGATTTCCTTCCTCCCTCCACCTCGACAAGCTACGCAGTAGCCCATCAGTCTCACCTGACTTGACAAGAACACGCAAGGGAAAGCGGGGAGGGCAGAGAAGACAGGGTTGAAGCGGGAAGAAATTGTAGACAGAGGGGATTCGGTCATTTTAGGGAGGGCTCCGCAGCGCCTCGTGGTGTGCGAGACGCTACTTCTTCCCCACCCCGCGTCCAGTCCTCAACTTGTCCTCCCAGCCGTGACGAACCCTTTCCGGCAGAGCCGCGTCCTACCGAGAAAACGCCGCGGATCCCCTTCAATCTCCCCCAAAGGCGGCAGTCGCTCCCGGCGCACCGAGAGCGCCCGAAGCACGCCCGTGGCTTGCGGCTCACTCCGCAGCCGTGCAGGCGCCCCGTCGTGCCCTCGCAACCAAAAAAAGCCCCAAGAGGAGCCGGGCACGAAGACGACAAACCTACCGAGGAGCCTCGAAGGTCTACCGCCGCGCATAGGAAGGGAAACTCCACCAGGATGAGAGGCACCCCGCCGCACCGGCGCTGCCAGCACCAACGCTCAGGAGCAGGGCGGAAACAAGGCGCCCAGACCCAAAGAGAGGACGCACGTAGAGAAGAGGGGGGCGATGAGAAGGGGGGGCTGAGGAGCAAGCAGAGGGGAGCGCTCGGCCCCTGCTGCTGCGCGAGAGGAGGACGCCGTGCGGGCCGGGGTCTCTACGAGCTCTTCGGGCAGGGCTGTGCGAGAAAAACGATCGGCCGCTGTTGTCAGCCTGCACCGCGAGAACAAAATAACGACCATCCCCTTCCTCCGCTTGCCATTCTCCGGAGCCTAGCAGCGGATTGGCACCCCGCTGCGGCGCTTCGCAGGAGAGCCACAAATCACTCGCAGAGCATCCTGCTCCTTCTGCCCTTCTCGAGCGAGCCCCGCTCGTCGACCCGCTTCAAGCTGCGGCCCGGACCGTTGCAACGGCCTCCCCTATTCCTGACTTCGGACCCCGGTCCCGAGCGCCCCTTCCCCGCCTCCCACACCTTCCCGGGGCTGCGCCGAGCCGGAATGACTGCAATGGCCTTGCACGCATTGCCTCTGCTGTGCAGGTAAGTAATTTATTGATCCGTAAAGCACTCCGAGACGCTCTGGAAGGGATTATGTCATGCCAGTGCCGTGCAATAAAATAAAAAATGATGGATTTTTTGTGAACATGAGGGTGATTTAGGGTTTGTAGTTGGAAGTGTAGTTAAAGTACATTTTAAGTGGAAATCAAGGTGGGTAATGAATTATTCTCTGTTTTGAAGGGCTTCTGGGAGTTCATTTTTTGCTGCTCTGGGCACGACGGCTAATCTGCTAATCACGCACCGGAGGACAACTACGGATCAGAGGCTCCCAGAACAGCGGGGGCTCCGGGGCAGGACAGCGGAGGACACGGAGAAGACACCGAAAGAAAGAAACATTAATATGCATCGGTGTCATTAAGCCCAGCGTCAGGCGAAAGGCACAGGCCTCCTGGGACCGCCCGCCCGCCCGGAGCTGGGAGATGCTCTGCCGATAGCCCGGCCGTCCACGGAGGAGATGCGATTAACTACCACGGCGCGACGACTGCCCTGCCGTGTTCCGAGGCCGGGACCGCTGGCCGGGAAACCCACGTGGCGCTTGCGAAACACCGAGCTTACGGTCCGGACGACAAAAATAGGCCAAGGAGGTATTACCGTTGCCATTTCAGAGAGGGGGAAAGAGACAAGCGGAGGCGCAGCGAATTGCCCGCCGTCGCCCGGGGAAGAAGCGATACCTTTCAGCTGCAAGTCCCGACAAAACTAGAGCGATCCTTGATCACCTTCAACGCGACGCTCGCTAAATCACAGGGGAACCTTTCTGATATTTTGAACTACCGAATCCACATCAATCCTTTCCAGCTGGTTTTGCAGAGCTCACCAAGACTTTAAAACAAATAAATGATCAGGTCAGACCCTGCGCCGTGACTGTGGTACCGCACACACGGAGCTGCACCTGCCTGGGAGAGAGACAAAAACCTGTATTCAAATCAACCGGCCAGATTCTAAACTATAATTCAAACGCACTAAACTTAGATTCCCCAAAACACGACTGTTACATCCTCCTCCTCCTCCTCCTCTGCAATATATAGCAGGAGATTTAATTCTGCTCTGACCAGGCAGAGGAGGAGAGATGATGGCGCTCGGCTGGGCAACTGCAGACTCTGCAACTCCCTCCGACAAGCACGAAAGCGGCTCGTGCGCCGGGGGAAAAGCCCGCCGTGCCCCGTCGAGCTTGGGATGGGCTCGGGGAGATGCGATTTACTGTGGTCCACCGGGGACGAGATGAGGCAGGAACGGCTGGGAAGTAAACCAGAGTGACAACGTCAGCGAAGTCGTTAGCTAACCCTTAAATTAAGTGCGCGGTGGTAGGATTTAACGCGACAGTTATTGTATGCTAATTAAACGTTTGAATAATTAACCACACGAACTATTTAAAATGCCTTTCTGGAGACTGAACAGGTATATTGTCAGGCTTTTACCACACTAGGGAGGGAAGCCTTAATAAATAAGTGATCGCAAGTATATATTTGATACTATTCAATGGTCACCGGTGCTCCCGTTCCCTCTGCATTAAAACGCTTTCGCCGCCAGTCGGCATCGCCGCGGCGATGGGGCGGAGGAGAAATTTCTTCTGCCGAACGCGGGACGCAGATGGAGCCGTGCCCCCGTGGGAACGAATAAATAAATAAAGCTAAATAAATGCAGGCTTCCCAGGCGGGAACCCTCTCCTTGCGGGCAGTCCTTTTGTGTTCAGCATCTCTCTTGCTCAGAAGTGATTAAACATGGCAGCGTTGGCCAAGCCGCTCCAGCGACACAGCGCAGATTTCCCCAGAGGCGGGCTGGTGTTTTATCGAGCTGACGACTTCTTTTTTCCCCCCCCCTATCCTTGCCACGACGACGGGAAAGGTCTCCGGGCTGCTCTCCGCCTCCACGGCCCCCCGCGGGTGCCCGGGGCACGCCCCCGGTTTGCCCGGACTCTGTGCCCGCTCGCACACGCCGAGTCCCTGGGACAGAAAGCAGCTTGCTTAAATATTTAACCAAACCATATGGCGCGTTACACGTTCGAGGGTGTTCAGTCAGGTGATATATGTCTTTACGGATCCAAGCATATGCGCTTGCCTACACAGATACATTCCCTGGCGCACAGACGCCCTCCTGCCACCGGCACAGATCATATCCCCGCTATGCTTTCACCTCCAAATATCTGTCCCAGAGCCAACACAGGTGCAGAAGCTCGCACGTACCCCTTGGCCCCACCATCTCCTATCACCGTTACTTCCCCACCCATCTTCCTTGCGTGCCACGACCACGCCGCTTGCCCGTGCTTCCCTCTCCCTGGCACCGCCTCCCCCCTGCTGCTGTGTCCCAAGGCGCCCCTCGGCATGGCTGGGCTCCCCGGGCACCCCAAATTTCAGCCACGTGTCAGGCAAGAGGCCCCTGATTATTAGGGGGGCATGAATCCAGAGCAATCTCTCCACCAGAGACAGGAAAAGAGACCCCAGATGAGCCTCGCCACATTGGATGCCTGGAAGGAGCAACTGCACTTTTTTGGCCTTAACCACCTCTTTTCTACCCAAGTTTTGGGAGACAAGCAAGTAGCGCAGAAATACGCGTGTGACCCATCCAGACCCGCAAATCCCTTCTCACATGGGACCCGGGCAGAGCGGGCTCTCGCCCCGGCAAAGCGCCCTGCCCTGCCCAGGACTCGCAGCCCCCGGCGGCAGCCGGCGAGCGAGCGGGCTCTCCCGGTAAGCGTAGCGACCCCTCGCTTCCCCCTCGTAAAGCCTGCAAACCTCCATCTTCCAGCACGAGCAACATCTGCTCCAGATCAGAGGAAACAACAAAGACCAACTATGAAAGTGTCTCGAAGACAGAAAAAGAGGGAGATTCAGACTTGCGTTCTGCAGGCGATCTGTGATGTGCACCGCCAGCTTCTTGAACATCAGGCTGCCGCTGCTCCTGCTTTTAATAACAGCCTCTTACTGCTGTCATCCGCAGCCTTCCCCATGTTCTACAGAGCGCTGTGACCACGGGACTTAGCGAGGAGGAGCCCCGGGGCGCCCCGGCCCTGATCACGATGATGCTACGAGCCGGACCGAGCCCACGCTCCCGGGGTCGGTAACGGAGGGGTCCTCCAAGGCCAGCCGGGACCGAGGGCGGGCAGGGACCCCGCTATCGCGCTCCCCATCCAACTCTTCCCGGTTGTAACCAGAGCAGTTTCCTCATCTCTGGGTCGGGAGAAGGTGGGGCGCTTGGGCTGCCACAGCACCAGGCACCTCCACGGTGCCTTCTCCCTCTTTGTGGTCAAAACCTTTCTGCCTTTTTAAGGCCGGCAGGGAGCAAACAGGGACACCTGTGCCTTCCATTACAGGTGTATTATAACGGGCTTTTAAAGCAGCTTGTGCCGCTCTAACACACCCGTAATTAAGGGAAAAGCAGAGCCAGCTTCACCCTTCCGTCATACCAACCCACCTCAGGAGCCGCACCGAAGAAGCCCACGGGGCGTGAGGAAGGGCAAACACAGCCTCGGGGCCTGCTCCCAGCGACACCGCTGGGTCACTTGTCTACAAACCCCTTACAATTAGAGGTGCCGATCCCACACCCCCCACACCCCGCCCCGGGGCTGCCTCCGCCCTGCGTTTGCACCGTCG